TATCAGCAAACCTGCAAATGCGAACAGGGAGTGGTTTGGAAAGCACTCAACATGGAAGCCAGACGCAAAAGATGCGTGTTTTCACCACTGCCACTTCGCTCCCTGGACAGCAAAAAGCGTTGCCAAGCTAAATCCTCTGGATGCACCGAATGTTCCATCTGACGGATGATCTCAGGAGACGATTTCCTGTCGTGACACAGCATTGTGTACATTGAAGCGTCGCATCCATCTCGATTGTGCCACGTTGTGTGGCTGAGGCACTGCCGAAAGTTTAAAACTTGGACTTACAGACTGCGCTGTGTCCAGCTTCATAGGCTCACAGTAAGGAAGTGTCCGCCCTCTGCAAGGACGTTACCTTGGAGCGAGTGCCACTAGCTGACTATGCCAGTGTGGCAGTCAATGTTCCTGAGGCGCCAACTGTCAGACAGCAGAAAGCCTTGAATAAACTCTGGCGGATGGCGGCCTGAGCGCAAAAACCGCAGGCCAAAGTCCCTGTCAAGGAATACAACGAGAGGCCGAAGAGAACTGAAATGAAGGCACACCTTCTCAGCACCATGCCTCTACATGTTTCTGTTGCAAGCTCCAAAAGGCAGCCTGGAATATATTTTTGAAAGGTGCACAAGCAGAACTCCAGGCAAAGTCAATAAAACCAATCGGAAAGTCAAATCAAAAGCCAAGGCGGCCACCTGGACATGCAGAATCGGCAACCCTGCAGCACGCAAAAAAGAAATGGACGATAAGGCCAAGGATCCATGACATTCAGAACCACGAGCAAAAAACGGCTGCTCATTGGCGAAGACACTATGTTCATACTGCGCCCTTTTAAAAGCCGGCTGAATCATCAATGCGCTGGTCTAGCGAGCTCCACCGCACTGTCAGATACTTGTTTTTCCACCAATCCTTTGTCCCCTACCTGTACTTGTCCACGACTTTCATTGGGGAAGTCCTTTCACATAAGCACAACCATATCACATAACACGATCCAAAGACTCATCCCTTTATAAAGCGGAGTTCACCAGGTACGAGGCCTGGGTCTCGAATGCCGTTGCCAGAGGTATCGCAATATCTCCACCACTGGGTCTTGAACTCCTGAGCGCAGAACAAAGTGGCTTGAACTAGCTCCAACATCCTCCAAACTACCCAAGCTAAATGACATGCTGGCTTCAAGGGAAAGGGGTCCCTTGAGATTGGGTGAAACACTGGCACAAGAACTCACAAACCGGAAATAACGCAAGCCCCCAGCAAGAGACTCACGGGCCAAACGGCCACCCAACATCCGTGTCAGATCTCCGCCAATGAGAAGCAAAAGCCATGAGGTTATCATGTTGAGGGCAAACAAGATAAAAGGAAACATGGGCTGTGTGCCACTGGACTCGCGAACGCTGGCTGTCTCACGACATCTCACGACAAGATCCTCTGGAGGACGAGCCTAGCACAACAGCCTCTGTGCATATCTGCATCTGTTTTGACCTGTTTTGTTCATAGCCCGGCCCGCTCCTAGCCAAACCCTGATGAATCTGACAGGCCATTCAGGCCTCATGGCGAGCGGCCTTTCTTCAATTCCTTTGACCTCACCATTAAACACAGCTGACTCCGAGCATTTGGAGCGGCAGTACAGTACAGTTCCCAAATTGATTCCCTAACTTGAAAATGACAAGGGTAGGACACAAAGACATATTATGCTTTTCGGTCAACAAAAATATGGCTGCCCGTCCGGGGGTATGCAAAAACAGAATCATAATGATGCCCAGCCCTGGCCATACTAGAGCAATACTAAACCAACGGAAAACTATCACTCTCCAATACTAGAACAATACTGTCTGATAATAAACCAGTAAGCCAAATACTAAGCCAATCCGAAGATCGAGCAAAACCGACTGAGGCCTTAAACAGCCAAATTCTTGACACCCTTTACTCAACAGCCATCGAAACAAATGCTCAAAGGTAGAGGGAAGCCCCCGAAACTGCGTCATGAAAAAATACCAAGGCAATTCCAAACCGCTGCCAAGCAGAACTTGCATGGAATCAAAGCCTATCACGAATGAAAAGCAATCCTTTGGGATAAGTCAATATTGAGAATGTGGATGGAAATCCGCTTCACACCGGTTCGGATGGATGCACCCCAACATACCAGTTGAGAAATACCTATCAATTGCAGGATTGTCCATCCACAGCATCCAAAGTACATCACCAGTTTTCGCCGCGTTGGGCGCCAGGCTTGCCTCGGCTTAGCATCCACAGTGCCTCCTTTTTGGGCAGCCCGCTGTTGGCTAGATTGAAAGGGCACACAGAACAACAACTTTGAGGGTCTCATTTTTTGAGGCGTAACCATGTGAGATTCCGCCCATCCCAAGATCATTCGCTTGGGCAACTCTGCAGATTCTTCCGCAAGGCGCAAGGGAGCGCCGCTGCCCTTCCTTGACGCGGTCCACCAACACCTGCAGCTTGTCTCGCAGGGTAAGCGGCCACATATCCACCTCCGGCACCATTCTTTAGAAACCTGGATCTTTCCTGTGGTGCAGAAGTGCCTAGTTGCTTGACCAAGACAGCCCCAAAGCAGGCCTCTGGTTGATTCTCCCCTGGAACCAAACAACCCAGACATTCCATGACCCGGTAATTTACTGGAGAGTGATGCACCGAGGAATGCGGTGTCAGAGTGGATCCCATCGAATCTCAGCCGCCAGACTGTCCAACACGTTTCCAGCTGATCCCCTCCTGATGCCACCAGCTTGATTCGATGCTTGGAAGCGCATGCGAAGCTTGAGGCACTGTGCCCATTTCCTGGGCGCGACGTGCCAGCAAACATATAGGTACCGGTGCCCGAGCGCCTCGTTTGATCACAACACTACTAAAACATGACTCCCAGGACACAGTGACTTTGGGGGTATTTGTTCTTGGGAACGGGTTGAGGGACATCATTTTTTGCATTGAGTGAGGGGCTATACCCACCAAGTATATTTGCGGACATTCACCCCGTGAAAACTCATAGACCCGGCAAACCAAAGGGCAACCACACCCTGGCGGGCGCCGTTGGCAACAAGTTGGCGGCGTGGCTGGCTTCCTAAAAGTATGAATCCTTTTTAAAAACTGGTCCGTTTCTACTTAATCATGCCACATATGAGACTTGTGGCAGTTACAAGTACACACATACAGGACGCTTAAGAATATTAGGCTTTCTGGCTACATGCAACATAGCTTTCATAAATAGTTGTAAGTAAGTTTCCAGCAAGTTGTGTTTGCGCTTGCGTGCATGTGTTGCGATCATGCGGCTTGTTTGGAATCGTTGCATGTATGTTATACAGCGCTTGTAAGCAAACACTGTCATTCCGGCTCAGTTGTTTCCCTGCTTATAATCTGTGCATCATCACTGTCATCACTTGTATTTGTTGTCACTTCCTGAGTGGATTGGCCCAAAAAGAAACTGAACTTGTTTACTTACCACAAACATACTATTCTCAAAAAAAGACCAGGAACGCAGGAAGTAATCAGATGCAATCATAACAGGACGCGCATAGCAGTTGTATACTGTCGTGCTTGCTTTAGGCAACAACTGTGTTTGCCGCAATTGGTTGGTCAGGGCAATTAGCAAAGCAGCTATGGCAGATAGAAGAACCAACAATTCAGTCGCGTTGATGTATCAAAAAAAGGGACGGAGCTGCTGCCAGCCGTTTAGGGCGCAGACCTGCATTTTAGAGTGCGGAGTGTGGAGTGGAGTGGCGTGGAGTACATTGGAGTGGACGCCCTGTACCCTGCACATATAGATGGGAAAGGATTTTTCTGGGGAAACCCAAAAAAACGGACGAAAGGGCCAAGCTAGACTTCCGAGCTTAAGCCGGGCTGCCACAGCTCGACAAAAACCGCGCAACGACTCCAGAGAGTGGCGTTTAGGATCTCTCCAGCCCAAGGCAGTAGCCTACCGAAAGCGCGTCACAAGAGCTCGAGGGTGAGCGGCCAACAAGCTGAAACGTGTTCATCGGACGTTAGTTCTGAAGGGCTTGAACTTACGGCTTATCCAGCACAGCTAAACTTGGTCTCATCTTGACGTGCTCAAGAGATTTCAGAGACCCTAAGACAACCGAAGCTCACCTAAGATAACGCATCGACAAGGGGCTGTGGAAAGTCATCCCGTGGTTGCGCTGTTTAGAATCCCAGGGATAAACGATACTAGGTGTTTGCAAGTACCCGTGCCCAAATAGGTCTCAAATAAAAGGTACTGTATCTAACATTGAATCTATCGGCAATCGGCAGGATTCGCCCAACTGGAACAACATGCCTGGCCAGAACGAAAAATATCAGAAACTGGAAGCAACCACAGAAAACGTGCCCGGAATCCCGTTTCTTGATGATAACCTGGAATACTTGCAAAAAATCCGATGCGCATGGGAATGTCAACCTCGCGAAGAAAATGGGGTGATCACATTCGCGAAGGAACCTGTGTTGAATAGACAAAGTGTAATCCTGGCATTTCGGATCCCCTTCCGCAGACATGAGGAAAGCGAAAGGCACCAGCGCTGCCCCGAATCTGAGATAAGATCGGAGGCTTCGGGTAGATACCACCCTGCAATTCCTTTAGCAACCATCCTGAGTAATCCAAAGTCCCTGAACAACCTTAAAATCCGACCACCATTCGACCGGAAGGTTAACATGACCAGGTTGCCAACGATGGAAATAGGCTGTATTTACTCTGAATTTGGGTTGCCTTAGAACAAGGCTAAGATTACCTTTGCAGAGCCACTGGGTACCCTTACAACTTTACAACTTCTATCAGGTGTCAAGGTGTCAAGCACAGCACACATCACCCTGAAAATCCTGAACTGTCATACAACTTGCACTGCGTCTGCTTCAGATACTGAAAGCAAGTGTAACTTTCAATAGGCATGTGCTTTGCGTACCGTCAGCAGTCGCAAAAACAGGATTGACATGGAACCCCCAAATGCATTGTGCTTGCAGGAACTTGCTTCGTGGAGGCTACTCCTTTGGGTTCCATGTAATTGACAAGCTGACAATTTGGCCAGCGAGACGCAGCAAATGGAGTGCGAGTGTGCCCAAGGCTCTTACCGTGTCTACTGGTGAAGCGCATTCGGGTGACGATGCAAGGCTTTCAAGACAGGCTGAACTTGGTTGACGCCACACAACCACACGCATACTTGTCTTTTTAAAAGCTGCCAGAGATGGTGTCCCCTATTTGGTGGGGGGGTTGTGCATATGTGCCAAGGTCCAAGCTTGAATTGTTTTAGAGTTAGTACGGCTGATCATTTAAACTCCCGGCTCACAAGATGGTCCGGCCTCGCACCACCTCCACCACAAGTCTTGCCTGGCTTCTGGCTTGAGATGGGCCCAACCAAAGACCTTTCCCGTTGACCCACTTGTCAATGTGTAAAACAATCAACAAGCTGGGGTTCTTTTGGTAGACATCATGGACATGGGACTTAACGTCCACCAAACCCGTTTGAGTGTACTCCCCTATCAATATTCGCGGCCACATCACGCATATGCCGGACCCCCCCCCTTATAGTTGTCTATGACTCCTTGTAACATCCACCACTCAGCTATGGGGTTGATATGGGGTTGATAGCCTGTAGCAATTCTAGCCACCTTTTCCAAACACTTATCATTCTAGGCATGCGGCGCAAGCAGGATAATATGTGCAACTGAAACGAGACAAGTCTGCAGCTGGCACAAAACATGGCCTGGGCCCAACAAGGCAAAACAGGATCCCGCATTTGGGACGCACTGGACGCAATTCAATCAAAGGAGCCTGAAGAAAACATATCACTCCCCACATTTTGCAGTACACAGGAACCATTTCGCAAGGACATGTATTGCCAAAGGGATCTGTGCACTTCCATGTTGGTAATAGGGTGTCTTGCAGGTCCTATTTGGCAGCCCCAAAAAGAGACTTGGACCCAGGGGCGGTTCATGAAGTTGTCCAGTAAAGGACTCGTCCTTGAAGGGGCAATCACAAAATGGAATTCCCGGGTATGGATCAACTCGTCTCTGCCGGGCGGCAGCTCTTTATCCTCGCGCTGCAAACGCTTCATCAAGCTGCACAGCTCGGTATATGACATGTAGGCGGCGCCTGAGTTCATCAAACTCGGGCTCTGGAAAGACGCGACGTGCGCTCGCCGAAAACCAAGCTCAGTGCTTGCCCCAACTTTCTTTTTGTGCGTGATTTTTTAAGAGTGACGATTTTTGCGGGACACCGCCACGGCAAATCGGACTTGTGGACACTTTCAGGTGACAGCCGGACACTTTTTGGGAAATATAGGGCCCCGCTAGAGTCCGCTAGAGCATGAACTGTCTGAGCAGCCACGGGCCCGTGGGGCGTTCAAAGTGACTGGCAATTGCGTCAATGCGGACGTGATTTGCGAAAAGTTGACGGGGATGAATTGATCTTGCCTGGAACCTTCGCAGGCCGCAAATCTTCGCTCTGCAAAAAAAGAGCCAACCGCTTGTCAGCATCCTTGCCACTCGAAGCACACAACTGCGTCAGCCCAACACCATTTGTGACATACCTAGAAACTCTGTTGGCAGAAATGTCCGCCCGGTTCCTAAAGGCAGACATTTCGCTGGTGAGAAATCTGGCTGGTCTAAACTGGTGGGATGGCAGGATAATGAGAAAGGAAACAGATGAGCGGCAGTAGCTAGTGAGAAGTCTGACTGGTCTAAACTGGTGGGATGGCAGATGTAAAGAAACCAAGTTAGCAGCAGTAGCTAGTAGCTGGTGAGTTATTTGACTCGTCTAAACTGGTTCAATGCAAGCGGCCTGGCCGCCTCCGCAATCACGAAAAAGACAAAAGCAAAAACAAAAACGGTCGTGCAGCAGAATGGCTCGAGCGACAACTGTCGATGAACAACTAAAAGGCAGTAACATGTATGCATATACAAAGAGGCTAACTTCTGACTTGCAGACAAATGAAAATATGTTATATATATATAACTGCTTTCATATGTAGAGATAAACAAAACAATACGAATGTATATACGTGGCATGTACATGTATCAACTATCATATGCAGAACCTCCAAAGATTGTGTCCGTGTGACGGTGCTTTGACGGCCACAAATATGCTTGAGGCTCCCAATCAATGCGGACTTCCTGTTGATTTGCCGAGGAGTGTTCGTGTTGCTCCCTCAACTGTCCTGCAACGCATGCAGAACAGTCAGATACAAAAGTCTCCCTGGTCTTCTGGCTTGACAGCCGGGATCTCCCGCAAATGATGAACATGTCAAGAACAAACGTTCACACTCTGAGGAGCTTCTGACTATTAGGTATCGTTGGCGTTATGGAAGGGTTTGAGGGGTGCTCGGGGGACCATCTACGAAACTGGCAGGACTTCAAGTCGGCTGGAGAAAAAAAAGAAGAAAAAAAACGCGACACAGACGCGCCTGGCAAGCCAATTCTGCTCACTCGAGCTCACCCCAAACTCTTTCTTCTAGGAAAAAAAACAAAACACTGCACAAAGCTCCAGGCCAATGTCAAAACAGTTGAGCGGTGAACGAAATTCATGTGCCAAGCCACTGGAGAGACCAGCCCATCCAGCGTACTGCTGGTTCCCTGGGCCCAGCCGATCGGCAAGAACCGTCATCTGGGATCCGATGGGGGTCCCATGTGAAATTTGATGCTCGGGTAGACCAACGGGCGTGAAACAAATAAATTGCTGGGTTGGTCCCCATCCACTTGTGAAACTCACACACTGCTCTTGCGAAGCATGCTCTGCCCAAGTCAAGTATTTCTTGCGCGTCTTCATCGTCAAACACAAACACCCACTCCATATATCACCCGGGATACCTTAATAGCTATGTTGCTAGTTTGGAGCCCGCGGAAGCCATCTCGAATGTTGAAACCATGTGCTCCAAGCAACGCTATCATGGAAAATCTCACCCTCGCAAGAAGGCTCGTGAGACTCGGCAAGACGTCAGTCTTGGAGCAACACACTCCAATCGAATCCTTGCAAGATCTCCTCAATAGATAACTGTGACACGTCTTGTGGTTTTGTTAGCGTCGAGTTTATCCATGCCAAGTTCCGCCAAGCAGCAGTTGGTGTGACTGTTACCAGCCGAGCTGGTTGAACTACCAGCATTCCGCCGGAATCCTTAGCCCGATCTTCACAACGCACATGAGAGCAATCATCAGTGTCAAGCATGGAATTGAATGAGTGAAGTGTGTGATTCTTCTGGGAGTGTACCCTATGTCCACTTTACTGCAAATGGCAAACATGGACTGCTTCTCAGGTACCCTGCTGGGATACCTGTATCGATGAGCTCCTTAGCAACATGATAAGAGAGCGTCAACACGAGTCTCGGTCACACATTGTGATGCGCAAGGAAGCCTTGCCCTACAACCACTCAGTTTCGAGCTGTGCACCTCATCAAGTATATGTGCTTTAACACACGCTTTGCATTCATTTCTGTCCCGACCTATCTCTCTCTCCCCATCAACATGTTCATTATAGAGCTCCGTATATATTGTACCTATATTATGTTTATTGCTGATTGATTTGTTTACTGCCCAGTCTCTCTCGCTCTATCTATGTGTCTTTCTGATTGTCTCCCTCTCTGCTTCTCACTCTATCTCTCTCTCTCTCACTCCCTTTTCAAACCCAAGTGCAAGTACGTATTACACGGCTGGCTGTGTTATGTGTCCAAAGCTCCATGTCTCTCCAATAACTGACCATAAAGTTGTTAGCATAAAACCAGTGGAAGCCCGATTGGAATGATGAAACTACGTGCAGGCCATGGGCCCTAACTTGCCTTTGACCTGTGCACGGCCGAAATCCATGAAACAATCCTGAGATTTGCCGCAGGAAGTTGGAGAGCAAACATCTTGGTTGCTGTTGACCCCTGCGCAAAGAGTTTAAATGATTGTGAGTTTGATGGAACACTATTGATTTCCCAAGTTGCAGTCTAAAGATCTAACCCAATAGCAATCAAAGACATGGAAACTCGTGACTGGAGCAAACACACCCAAGGCAGCCCTAATACATCCAAACAGCTAGAAATAGGGCCCATAGGGAAAACGCACCGTTGGGCATCTAGCAGGAGCATACTTCTGCCAAGCTGCCGTCGGTTTGACCACTAAAAGCCTCGTGCTGGATTCCTCAGACTTCAGATCTTGCCAGTCTGCGCCAACAGAACCCGAATGATTGCTCAGGTCCTCCGACAAATGGGTATTCAAACAAACACTGGCTCTCGTCCGCTTCTAGCCCTGACAAAGGGTCACTTGTTGAGTTGGTTTTCTCTTTCCTGCCCAGCGGCTCCCGGTTGATTTAGCACCTTCAAACAACCTGGTTTTGAGAGCCCCCATCACCTCCGATGTGTCTGGATGGGTTTGGTCTTCCAAAGCCTCAGGAGCCTCGTGGGCCAATTCAACCCCTGGCGTGTGCCTCTGCCCTTTGCAACCCTCGTAGCCTCCAAGCCTGTGGGTTCAGTTGGCCCTGGTTGGGAATCCGAAGCGGTCCGTCTACCCTGAGAACCTGAGAGAAATCGAATCTACGACCTGGGCACTTTCTGGTGTCGGAAGAGGGGAATCTCCCAGCCTCCACTTTTGCAAGTCAGATTCTAGGTGGTAGATGAAGGAACACACCCCCAGTTTCTGGCCACGAATTTTACACGAAACTGTCAAACTAGTGCCAGCTGAAGCTAGGAATGTTAATGATGCTGCCAAAATCTGTGCGTCATGTTCCAGCCTGCTAGCGTTTCCCGCAGTGGCGTGGTTGTGTGGGACTCGCTGTGCGTTTCGCATGCCAAAACGTCACTTTGGCTTGCACGCTTCTGAATCTAAGTCCTCCAGAGAGGTTAGAATAAGGGTACCAACTTGTTTCTATAGTCTATTTTAGTAGGGGCACCCTCCCCCAAAAAAGCGTCAAAGGGCACTACTGGGGGACCTTGAAGAACAACCGTACAGCTGCCTTCGCATGGGAAAGGAAGTTCGTTTCCAAGGGTCCAGACCTCTCACAATGCGGCCGCTGAAACATCTGCTGAACGGGAATCAACTCAAGTGGAGGACTCTATCGTGGAGGACTCCTTGCCCCCTTTTTTCAAGGCAAGGACCCAATTTGGACAACAAGCCTTAGGTAAACGGTGCTTATATGAGCCCCCATGGCTTTAATGGTGGCAACCTTCCGTTTGGTTGAGGCCCCAGGAGAAAATGAAAATATGTCCAGTAGCGATGAATTCCTTTTGAGACCAACAAGGGGAGAAGAAAAAACACATATTCTTAAGCAAATGGAGGCCACCGAACCCTTCGGACCCATGAGATGCTCGAGTCTTTTCTTGGCCACGCCGCGCTGGTCATTTGCGAGGCCAGCTTCCCGAGCCTTGCTCTTTCCTCGGGGGAAAAAAAAAGCCATGCCAATAGCATCACCTAAGGGCTACCCCCCAATTGGTGCTTTGCATTGGTGCTTTGGATTTGGAGTTGAACCCCCACCTTTTGTGGAAAATAGGAAACCACCAATCCAAACCACCAATGAGGGGTAGGGTGATCACTTGAGCACAAAGTTGTCAGCTCGTGCTTCCTCAAAGTAACTATGCCGCATTGTGTCAAGTTCGTTATACGAAGCGCCATGCACGCCAACCCATCAATCACTGAAGATTGAATGGCTATAGGCATGCATCAACAAACACATGCATTAATAGTTTCCATTTTTCTTTATTTTCGACCTGCACCTTTGGCCATCGGTGGATAGAACGACATGGCCCGTGTCAAAATCCACGTAGGGGGACCCTAACATGGCAGTTTTTCGTTTAGGTTGTTGGCTTTTCACCAACCATGAAGCCAGAAAGCTTGGGGCTTCAGCCCGCCTCCGCTTTTTCTTCAGATGAGGGGCCGTAGCGGACAGAGCTTTTGCCGGATGACGAGGCTGTATAGCTTCCTTTCCTCCCAAGGCCAGAGAGACTCCAGTAACTTGACCAGCCACAACAGCAACTATGCAACTGCAACAGACACCGGGCCTTGGCTCTCCCTTCCTTGGTATCGACTTCCCTTGGCGCCAAATCACACCTTAGCGTGATGCCACAGATCCTGCAAACACTGCGAGATCTCTCCGAGTTCTGTATCTGTGTCGTGAATCACAAGCCTGAAGCAAGGAACCCCAAACAGGAAGCCTCATGCGCATGAACGGCCCCAAAGTTTGGATGATCACCCTATTCAGAAACTGGCGAATGTCTCTATAGATATCCCTGGCTAATAAGTCCCCCAAGTGTGATTTCTCCTAAGTATAACCCACCTGGGGATATTGACCACTTTCTTGACTGCGACAACAACTTTGGGCAGTCGCAAGTTTTGCAAAAGATCAGACTCAATATGATTGCACTACTTAAAATCCGCCGACCCCCCTGCCTGCAAGGGGAAGGCGCTGGGGGAGTGTTCGTTTAGCGTTGGAGCGTGACTGTGGCAGCCTTCTCCCTTCCCTTTCGCCCTCGCCTGTTCAGCCCTGTACCTTACCAGCCTTCTTTCTTTCCCTTTTTTCTTGTTCTTCTTCGTTTCTTTTCTTTCCTTTTCCTTTCTGCTGCCGGCGCACTCCTTTGGTTGGTGCTCGCTGTAGACAAACGAGTGCGGCCTGGAAAAGCGCGGGAAGCGAAGCTTTTGTGGCTGGCCGCTCCCTCTGGACCGATAACCTTGCTGCATATTGGACTCAAACGCGACGTTAGGCACCCGGCCGCGGCGGAGCAGGCTGCCGGCGCACTCCTTTGGTTCGTGCTCGCTGCGGCGAAGCGAGTGCGGCCTCCAAGCGCGCTGGACGCGAAGCTGTTCTTGCTGGTCGCGCCCTGGGGACCGATAGCTTTCTACTTTCTATATAGGATTCAAAAGTGACGTTCGGCACCCGGCCGCGGCGGAGCAGCCGCCCTTGGCAAGACGCACAGCAAACCCAAAGGGAGAAAGACCAGGGATAGGCAAACTGTGACAGACGCAGGCGCACATGGGCATGGACAGGCCGGGGATTGAACCCGACCCCTCTCGCATGCTGAGCGGGGGTGAGCAGCGAAAGGTGTGAATGCTGAGCTAAAAACCACTCCAAACACCCAAACCAACCCCACAAATTCTATTCGCAAACCAGCACCCTAAACCAACCCTAAAACCTGCCCCTGGAGGAGCAGAGCAGGCCGAAGAGTGCTCAAATACCTGCTGCGCATACAAATTCTAAAAACTTCCACACACACCCACTAACACAGCATCAGCGCTGAAAAGCGGTCCAGAGGGAGCGGCCAGCCACAAAAGCGTCGCTTCCCGCGCTTTTCCGCGCCCAGCAGAGAGGAAAAGAAAGAAAACCAAAGGAGTGCGCCGGCAGCAGATACGGAAGACTAGAGGCCGTACGGCGGGTCCCGCTACTCCTTTGCCACAGCGAGAACCACCCAAAGGAGTGCGCCGCACAGAAACGGAAAGAAGCAAAAAGGCGGAACGAGCGGGCCGTGAACAGAGCATCAGCGCTGAAACTGTGCCCGCAGGTGCTTGAGAGGGCCTTTTCCAGGCCGCGCTCGTTTGCCCACAGCGAAAAAAAAGGCCGCTGGACTGGACGGCCGATAACCTTGCTGCATATTGGACTCAAACGCGACGTTAGGCACCCGGCCGCGGCGGAGCAGGCTGCCGGCGCACTCCTTTGGTTCGTGCTCGCTGCGGCGAAGCGAGTGCGGCCTCCAAGCGCGCTGGACGCGAAGCTGTTCTTGCTGGTCGCGCCCTGGGGACCGATAGCTTTCTACTTTCTATATAGGATTCAAAAGTGACGTTCGGCACCCGGCCGCGGCGGAGCAGCCGCCCTTGGCAAGACGCACAGCAAACCCAAAGGGAGAAAGACCAGGGATAGGCAAACTGTGACAGACGCAGGCGCACATGGGCATGGACAGGCCGGGGATTGAACCCGACCCCTCTCGCATGCTGAGCGGGTGCGATGCCACTACACCAACTGCCCCTGAGCTGAGGAGGCCGAGAGTGCTCAACTACCTGCTGGGCACAGCTTTCAGCGCTGTGAACGGATCCAGAGGGACGGCCAGCCACAAAAGCTTCCTCCCTTCCCGCCTTGCCCGGGGGCCCCCAAACAAAAAGCAAGAGAGGAAAAGGAAAAAACAACCAAACCAAAGTAGTGCGCCGGCAGCAGAAAGGAAGAACTCGAGGCCGAACGGCGGCCCCGCACTCCTTTGCCGACAGCGAGAACCCAAACCAAAAGGAGTGCCCGGCAGCAGAAAGGGGAAAGCAAACAGCGGTCGAGCGGCCGAGACAGAGCTCAGCGCTGAAAACTGTTGCCTGCAGGTGCTTGAGCGCTTTTTTCCAGGCCGCGCTCGTTTGCCACAGCGAAAAAAAGGCCGCTGGACGACCGATAGCCTTGCTGCATATGGGATAAACAACGCGACGTTTTAGGCAACCCGCCGCGGCGGAGCAGGCTGCCGCGCACTCCGTTGGTTCGTGCTCGCTCGGCGAAGCGAGTGCGGCCTCCAAAAGCGCGCTGAACGCGAAGCTGTTCTTGCTGGTCGCGCCCTGGGGACCGATAGCTTTCTCCTATATAGGATTCAAAAGTGACGTTCGGCACCCGGCCGCGGCGTACCAGCCGGTCTGGCAAGACGCACAGCAAACCCAAAGGGATGAAATACCAGGGAGAGGCAAACTGTGACAGACGCAGGCGCACATGGGCATGGACAGGCCAGGGATTTTGAAACCCAGCCCCTCGCAACAAACATAAAAACATATGCTGGGTGGGGAACAGAGAGCGGCGTGTGATCTTCATATCTAATCCACTCACACCAACTGCCCCTCATGACAGCGGCCGAGAAGAGACGAAGGCTCAAAATACCTGCTGCGCATGAGCTTTTCAGCGCTGAAGCGGTCCAGAGGGAGCGGCCAGCCACAAAAGCTTTGCTTCCCGCGCTTGCGCCGGCAGCAGAGAGGAAAAGGAAAGAAACCAAAGGAGTGCGCCGGCAGCAGAAAGGAAGGCTGGAGGCCGAACGGGCGGGCCCGCACTCCTTTGCCCACAGCGAGAACCAACCAAAGGAGTGCGCCGGCAGCAGAAAGGAAGCAAAAAGGCCGGACGAGCGGGCCGTGACAGAGCTTCAGCGCTGAAAACTGTGCCCTGCAGGTGCTTGAGCGCTTTTCCAGGCCGCGCTCGTTTGCCCACAGCGAAAAGAGGCCGCTGGACGGACCGATAGCCTTGCTGCATATTGGACTCAACGCGACGTTAGGCACCCGGCCGCGGCGGAGCAGGCTGCCGGCGCACTCCTTTGGTTCGTGCTCGCTGCGGCGAAGCGAGTGCGGCCTCCAAGCGCGCTGGACGCGAAGCTGTTCTTGCTTCGCGCCCTGGGGACCGATAGCTTTCTACTTTCTATATAGGATTCAAAGTGACGTTCGGCACCCGGCCGCGGCGTACCAGCCGGTCTTGGCAAGACGCACAGCAAACCCAAAGGGATGAAAGACCAGGGAGAGGCAAACTGTGACAGACGCAGGCGCACATGGGCATGGGCATGGACAGGCCGGGGATTGAACCCAGCCCCTCTCGCATGCTGAGCGGGTGTGATACCACTACACCAACTGCCCCTGAGCTGAGCAGGCCGAGAGTGCTCAAATACCTGCTGCGCATAGCTTTCAGCGCTGAAGCGGTCCAGAGGGAGCGGCCAGCCACAAAAGCTTCGCTTCCCGCGCTTGCGCCGGCAGCAGAGAGGAAAAGGAAAGAAACCAAAGGAGTGCGCCGGCAGCAGAAAGGAAGACTAGGCCGAACGGGCGGGCCCGCACTCCTTTGCCCACAGCGAGAACCAACCAAAGGAGTGCGCCGGCAGCAGAAAGGAAGCAAAAAGGCCGGACGAGCGGGCCGTGACAGAGCTTCAGCGCTGAAAACTGTGCCCTGCAGGTGCTTGAGCGCTTTTCCAGGCCGCGCTCGTTTGCCCACAGCGAAAAGAGGCCGCTGGACGGACCGATAGCCTTGCTGCATATTGGACTCAGCCGCGACGTTAGGCACCCGGCCGCGGCGGAGCAGGCTGCCGGCGCACTCCTTTGGTTCGTGCTCGCTGCGGCGAAGCGAGTGCGGCCTCCAAGCGCGCTGGACGCGAAGCTGTTCTTGCTGCTTGCGCCCTGGGGACCGATAGCTTTCTACCTTCTGTATAGGATTCTACAGTGACGTTCGGCACCCGGCCGCGGTGGAAACAGCCGCCCTTGGCAAGACGCACAGCAAACCCAAAGGAAAGAAGAGCAGGGATCGGCAGACTGTCCCAGACGCAGGCGCACATGGGCATGGACAGGCCGGGGATTGAGCCCGCCCTCTCACATGCTGGGTGTGATGCCGCTACACCAACTACCCCTGAGCTGAGAAGGCCGAGAGTGCTCAAACACCTGCTGGCCGCAGATTTCAGCGCTGAAGCTCTGTCACGGCCAGCCCGTTCGGCCTGTCTTCGCACTCCTTTGGTTGGTGCTCGCTGTGGGGGGCAAACGAGTGCGGCCTAAAACAGCGCTCGAACACCTGCAGGGCACAGTTTTCAGCGCTGAAGCTCTCTCGCGGCCTGCCCGTACGGCCTTTTTTCTTCCTTTTTCTCCTTTTCTGCGCACTCCTTTGGTTTCTTTCCTTTTCCTTTCTGCTGCCGGCGCACTCCTTTGGTTGGCGCTCGCTGTGGACAAACGAGTGCGGCCTGGAAAAGCGCGGGAAGCGAAGCTTTTGTGGCTGGCCGCTCCCTCTGCACCGATAGCTTTGCTGCATGTTGGACTCAAATGCGACGTTAGGCACTCGGCCGCGGCGGAGCAGGCTGCCGGCGCGCTCCTTTGGTTCGTGCTCGCTGCAGCGCAGCGAGTGCGGCCTCCAAGCGCGCTGGACGCGAAGCTGTTCTTGCTGGTTGCGCCCTGGGGACCGATTGCTGTCTACTTTCCATATAGCACTCCTTTGGTTGGTGCTCGCTGTGGGCAAACGAGCGCGGCCTGGAAAAGCGCTGAAAACAAGCAAACAAGCAAGCGAGCGAGCAAGCCAGCAAGCCAGCAAGCCTGAACCAGCCAAAAGCCGCTGCCAGAACAAAAAAAACCTGGGCTGGCCCCCAGCGGAGGGGTCGGCGGCACTGGGCGGCAGCCCTTAAATAATAATTCCTTTAGAAATTGTACTTAGCTCCCAAAAGCATGCATCAGAAGATCACCTGATTCCCCACAGGATGCTCCACACAAGCGGGTAAATATGATGTTCGACAGGGCCAAAATCCATCTCTTTTGCATCCCTGCTGTAGGCAGTGACTTGTTAAGTTCAGCTGAAGCAGCCATTCCCTTTGCTCTCTGCCCCATCACCGCTTCCCTTACCTGGCGATTTCATTCGTCCAATCCGAAGGTGGGAGGCGGAATGCGAACCCAAAGGTTGCGCACTTGGTGGGATCAAATAATATCGCTTTGGGTCGAATCAGGGTTTGATCAGGGTTTGCTGTTTGATCATTCTTTCAATGGGACCGGGACCCATGCAGATTGCCCATTGCTTTGAGAGGAATCTCCTTTCGTTGAGAAGCCCTTGGAGCCGGTTCCACGGGAATTTTGAGCTCCTTGGAGCCGGTCCCGTTGCCCGAAAGCTCTCCATGAGGCAAAAATTTAATTCGCAAACGTGGGATGTGTGGCAACCAAACTACATGTTCTGCCGACTGGCGCGATTGCTTGCTGTTTGCCACAAGAAGCTTCTTGTTACCCTCCCGATGAACAACTATATGTCTATCTTACCAACTAACAGCGGACTAAATGTCCTTGCGGAAGGCGCGGGGATGTTTCCTGGATGGACATGGGGCAACTCCTGTCGAAAATCAAAAGCTCCGACCAGCAAAGTTGACCATAGGATACCATAGGCTACGTACGTGAGCCACAAGTGACTGCAAAAAGGCCGTGGTGAGGCTGCAACACATCGTTTGATCAGCATTCGAGATGCATACAACAGCGCTATAAAGGAATGCCGATCCCTTGATCAAATATCGTCAACAAGTTGTCAATGAAACGCTGCCTTGATTGCTCAACGAATGTTGGAGATTCCATCAAATTGGTCTGAAGCCGGACGTAAAAATCGACAGGCCATGGAAGCCCTACGACATTTAGAACGGGAAAAGCATGAACAACTCTGCGTCATTCAAGAAACAAAAACGGATTTGCAACGCCAATTGGAGCATATCTCGTGGGCAGACGGTTTTCTGTGCCAGCAACGACTGCTATCCCCCGTGGAATTCTTACACGCCTGGAGTCATCACAAAGTCCTTCGAAAGGCAATTCGTGATTTTCCTGTGACTAGTGTTCCTGGTGCAGACACGGTCAAAGCCGATCTTCAAGTAGCGCGCAAGACAAGAATGTGTAAGGAAGGCTTCGGACTGACCCACGGAATACATGAAACGTGTCAATTTAGCTGATGCCTCGTGTGTGGCATCCGCCTTGCTCGCTTTCCATCGGAATCCAACAAAAACACAAACTATTCTGCCGCCAGGGCAACTTGTTTGAGGGTACGGTAAACCACCATGTTGAAGGGTGCCCCTTTACGGCAAACCCAAATATACGCCCTGCCTGAGGAATGGCGTGGGGGCATTGTGCTTCACTGTGAAGCAGGGCAAAGATCTTCTACCTGGTGCGCATTTCAGCCGACCATCTTACATTCGAATCGGAGGAATCGGAAAGTTGTGGACTTCCGAAGCCGAATTTGCACATCGGCTCTTGAACATTGTCATCTTTCCCAGTGCTTCCAACCACTAGCAGGCAACCAGGGTTCCTCCCTCTGGGCTCAAAATGATAGTTTGCCCTGGTAGCCTACCACAACTGGCACAGTTGTCACGGGACAGTTCCGAAGCATTCCGTGGCTAGTGAACAGGCAAACCCAAAATGCAGTCTCTCACAAAAAAAAACACAAAAACCTTCTCAGAAAGACCATCGCTTTCTTCCTAGGTCCCGCGAACCTCAAAACTTCAAGGGTCGGGGGGCGGCGGGCGGCCGCCCCTGGCTTCAGCGCTTCAGCCTCTCAGGCCTTGGACATCTGGAACCCATCTTAATGTTGACCCCGGATTAATAAACACCTGTTTGATAACATGGGGGTGTCCCTGGTTTTAGTGGAGGTTTATCACTGTTGGAGGGGAACACCCCCATATTAATAAACAGGGGTCTATTCATCCGGGGTCATTACACAGCCAACGAACTGCAGCGATCGCAAGCTGTGCATCTAATGCGATCCAATTCGAGCGGGTGTGACATTGGGGGATCTCGAATCCGCGCCAGCGCTCCATAGTCTCCAAATCTGGGTACCAAAAGGAGACCCATGTGCTATGGGGAGACAGTCGTTGTTGAGGCGACAAAGGCTTAGCCGGGCTAATTCTCAGACACTCCTGGTTCAAGGGGATCAACGTGCACGATCAAGGATGGCTGATTTTGTTGGCACTGGGTAGGCCTTTTCAAAGGTGTAACTATCCTCTCAGCAAACTTCCTGGATCATATATTCAACAGAACCAAACCCACTACACAAGATCTGTTGCATCTGCCTGTATAGACCCTATGTTTCAAACTTCCTGTTGATTAAGGTACCCTACAAGTACAGCGCAGCCAGCTTTTGTTGCATTGTCTTCACTACTGAAGCCACGATGGTGTGTCTGGTGCTCCTTGCTCAACATTGAGTGAGGATCGGCAAACCAAGACAAATATAGCATCATTGACGGGATCATAAACAGTGAACGACCGAGGAAGACAAAGGATATTGGGGAGGTGTCATCGCCAATCACTTTGCCAAACACATGGACAGCCGAATCAGCTTCCTGAATACCGTTCTTTGGGCCGATGAAATATCTGCAGCTCCAGTCCCCAAGGCTCGACCTAGGGGTTTTGGTCACTTTTATCCTAAGGCCCCAAGATGCTCCAAGTCTGGACTCGCAATCACTCACGTTGCACCTTCCAGGAATTGCCTGGTGCCTCTGTTTTGTGCTGTTGCAACAACAACAACAACAACAACAACAACTCCGTTTTCAGGCGAGCAACACTTGATTGCGACTCCGCGCACTTTGCAATTGTTTGCCCTGGGTCAAATCACAACAACAAACATGCAAAACACCGACGTCCCTGATAGAATGCAAACTTTCCCCGATCAACCAGCAGCTTCCCGGCCACCATGCTTCCAGTGAAACTCAAAACAACATGTTTGCAATGACTCCGGGTTGAAACAGGGTGTGTTCGCCGAAAGGACCGCAATCGCTGGTATTGTTTCAAATAACAGAAACAATATCGCTAGGGCGACCACTGTAAAATATTGCTGGGTAGATTCAACGCTGGCCCCGGCCTGACGGTACCCTCGTTGAACATCCTCGCCTCAGCTTGCGATTTCTACAATACCACTCCAAGAAAGAGCAGCTACACAGGGGTTCTTGTACATATGTATATACATATATTATATGGCGCCCCCTGCCCCCAAATGTCAACCTTTTGCTCTGTCTTCATCTGTTTTGCCCACTACATCTTACTCTGCAAAGGAAAAAGACTCTCCAACTCCACCATTGGCACTGTTCGAAACCCTTCTCACAGGAAAGGTCAGGGCCCAAAACCATTTAAACAGTTAAGACCCTCTCCCAACCTGAGGCACCCAACGTGCCCTGTTTTTAGGTACGAGAAAAAAACTCGAATTGCCGATTTCTGCCCAAAAACGCTCCCCCCCCCCCCGAAAACGCTCGACCAAATCCCCTTCTTTTAAAAAATTGCACTTGTTTGCGGATACTTCGCTCGTTTTGCGGATATTTGCGCTCGCTCGCTCGCTCGCTCCTGTCGAAAATTCAATGACCGATCATTTTGAAGGACCAAGCAGCCCGGTTTTCGGGTGGCTTCGGGTGGCTTTACGGTTGGTTTGGGGTTGGCGTAGGGCTGGTTTAGGGTTGCTTTAGGGGTTGGTTTAGGGCTGGTTAGGGCTGGGTTAGGGCTGGGCTAGTGGTTTCAGGTTGGCTGAAGTTGCTTTAGGGTTTGTTTAGGATTTGGTTTAGGCCTTTTTTAGGGTTGGTTTAGGGTTGGTTTAGGGTTGGTTTAGGGCTGGTCTAGGGTTGGTTTAGGCTTGGTTTAGGGTTGGTTTAGGGTTGGTTTACGGTTGGTTTGGGGTTGGCGTAGAGCTGGTTTAGGGTTGGTTTAGGGTTGGATTCGGGCTGGCTTAGGGTTGGTTCAGGGTTGGTTTAGGCTTAATTAGGCTGGTTTGGGGTGGGCGCAGGGCTGGTTTAGTGTTGGCTTAGGGTTGGCTTAGGGTTGGTTTAAGGTGGGTTTAAGGTTGGTCTGGTGGTTTCGGGCTGCGTTAGGGTTTAGGGTTGGCTTTGGGTTGGTTTAGGGCTGGTTTAGGGTTGGCTTAGGGTTGTTTTAGGGTTGGTTTAGGGCTGGTCTTGGTTTTGGGGTTGGTTTAGGGTTGGTTTAGGGTTGGTTCAGGGTTGGTTTAGGGTTGGTTTAGGGTTGGGCTGGTTTGGGGCTGGGCTAGGGTTGTTTCAGGGTGGTTTCAGGTTGGCTGAGGTTGTTTTAGGGTTTGTTTAGGACTTGGTTTAGGGCTAGTTTAGGGTTGGTTTCGGGTTGGCTTAGGGTTGGTTTGCGGCTGGCTTAGGGTTTGTCAAGGTTGGTTTAGGGTTGGTTTGGGGCTGTTTGGGGGGTTGGCGTAGGGCTGGTTTAGAGTTGGTTTTTGGTTGGTTTAGGGTTGGTTTAGGGTTGCTTTAAGGTTGGTTCAGGGCTGGTTTAGGGGTGGTTTAGGTTGGTTTAGGGTTGGTTTAGCGTTTGTTTAGGGTTGGTTTAGGGTTGGTTTAGGGTTGGTCTAGGGTTGGCTTAGGGTTGTTTTGGGTTGGTTTAGGGTTTGTTTTGGGCTGGTTTAGCGTTGGCTTGGTTTGTTTAGGGTTGGTTTAGAGCTTGCTTAGGGTTGGTTTAGTTATGGTTGGTTTGGGGTTGGCTTAGGGTGGTTTAGGGTTGAAGGGTCGGTTCAGGGTTGGTTTACGGTTGGTTTGGGGTTGGCATAGGGCTGGTTTAGGGTTGGTTTAGGTTTGGTGTAGGGCTGGTTTGGGGTTGGCGTAGGGCTGGTTTGGTTTAGGGTTGGTTTAAGGTTGGTTTAGGGTTGGTTTAGGGTTGGTTCAGAGTTGGTTCAGGGCTGGTTTAGGGTTGGTTTAGGTTGGTTTGGTTTCGGGTTGGTTTAGGGTTGGCTTTGGGTTGGTTTAGGGTTGGTTTAGTGTTGGCTTAGGGCTGGCTTAAGTTGGTTTAGGGCTGGTTTAGCGTTGGTTTAGGGTTGGTTTAGGGTTGGCTTAGGATTGGTTTATGGTTGGTTTAGGGTTGGCTTAGGGTGGTTTAGGGTTGGAGGGTCGGTTCAGGGTTGGTTTAGGGTTGGTTTAGGGTTGGTTTAGTGTTGGCTTAGGGTTGGCTCAGGGTTGGTTTAGGGTTGGTTTAGGGTTGGTTTAGGGCTGGTTTAGGATTGGCTTAGTTAGTGTTGGTTTAGGGTTGGTTGAGGGCAGGGCTGGGGTTGTTTTATGGTGGTTTTAGCTGAGGTTGTTTTAGGGCTTGTTTAGGGTGGCTTAGACTTGGTTTAGGGCTCGTTTAGGGTTGGTTTCGGGCTGGGTTAGGGTTGGTTTAGGGTTGGTTCAGGGTAGGGCCGAGGGTTGGCTTAGGGTTGGCTTAGGGCTGGTCTAGGGCTGGTTTAGGGTGGGTTTGGGGTTGGCGTAAGGTTGGTTTAGGGTCGGTTCAGGGATGGTTTAGGGTTGGTTTAGGGTTGGTTCAGAGTTGGTTCAGGGCTGGTTTAGGGTTGGTTTAGTGTTGGCTTAGGGTTGGTTTAGGGTTGGTTTAGGGTTGGTTTAGGGTTGGTTTAGGGTTGGTTTAGGGTTGGTTTGGGGTTGGTTTAGGGTTGGTTTAGGAATGGCTTAGGATTGGTTTGGGGCTGGTTTAGGGCTGGTTTAGGTTTGGCTTCGGCTTGGTTTAGGGTTGGTTTAAGGTTGGTTTAAAGGCTGGTTTAGGGTTGGACCGACTGACCGACCGACTGGCCGACCGACCGACTGACCGACTGAGAGACCGACTGACCGAGCCAAAACCCCAGCACCACGCAGCAAAACGGCCGCGCCATACCTAGGGAAAAAAGACGCAGCAAAACGGCCGCGCCATACCTAGCAAAAACAAAAACGCGGGCCCGCTTCCACACTTCGACAAAAGCGTGACACATGCCATGTCTGTGGAAGTGGAAGGGCGCAAGTGGAAGTGTGGCCTGTCGCCGGAACAGACCTTTCGATGACAGCGCTACACATTGGTGGAACAAAGTTGAGGGAGATTTTCCACGTTTACATGCTTCCACATTTCCACGCTTCCACGGTGGAAGAATAAAAAAGCGTGGAGACGTGGAAGATTGGAAGTGTGGAAGTGCGGGAGTGTCGGAGTGTGGAAGTGTGGAAGCATCGAAGTGCGGGAGTGTAGAAGTGTGGAAGTGTGGAATTGTGGAAATGTGTAAGTGTGGAAATGTGCAAGTGTGGAAGTGTGGCAGTATGGAAATGTGTAAGTGTGGAAGTGTTGTGTAAGTGTGTAAGTGTGTAAATGTGTAAATGTGGAAGTGTGGAAGTGTTGAAT